AGGGGGAGAGAGATATTTGGCCACAGTGTATGAGACAACAGGGCAGAGAGGATGCTAGACAGTAAGTCATCTAAGTAATTTATCTAAGGAATAGAGACACCTGTCCATTTCAGGATGTCATTAGCATGTGGGAGGCAGAAAGTCCCAGTGCTGTCAGATTTTTTGGAAATCTGGATTTTTATGTGAAATTACCAAATTTTCAAATATTGGCAAATAATTTAAATAAACAAAATCAACCTGTGCTGGCAAAGCAAAATATATTTCTATATTTCTGGACTGAATCTAGACCCATGGCTAGTAGTCTATGACCTCAGATCCCTACGTACACAACTAGACGCAAATACACACATATTCATGGACAAAATAGGAAAAAAGTCTAAACTTCCTTACCATAAAGTGTCAACCATAAGATCAACACCACCACATTAGAAATTATACTATGCGGTAAGGAGGGTAAACATAAAGTAAAGCAGATCTCATTAACGCAGACTGATTGTGATTGTTTTATGTTGACCTCTCCTCTGCAGATCGGGGTTCAGAATGAAGAATGTCCGACTTGATCAGAAGCTCTGAGCCTCCTGTTCAGGTTTAACAGCTGAAGGCTATAGGTGGTCAGCATGGTCCATGAGACACTGAGTTCACGCCTTCACCTCTCTGCCCCCACCTCCCAGCTTCCCAGTTTATTCCTCCTTAGACAACACGCTCTGTCAAAGCCTCTCGAGCATTCTGCACTATTGGCTTTTAGTCTTTGGAGTGCATATTATTTCTCATTTAAAAGAAAAAAAAAAGTACCTTACCTGGTTGATTCTCACTTTCTGGGTTTGAATTTTTGTCTCGGTTGGAAGTCCAGCCTGTGCACCGCATTGTCTGCTGACAGGCCTCTGGGCAGTGTGCATCACTTCTGAACCTCTCCCACAGTAAACGCGAGGTGATGGTCATTTCAATGCTGACTCTTGCTAATACTGAAACCTATCAAGTCTCCAGTGGTCTGAGCAACGGCAGCTTCTTCCACTTAAGGTCAAGCCATGGTACAGGGGACCCTAGCAAAGACTGTGATGTTTTATCATTTACTAGCTGTTGAGTTAATGAATTGCACTAATTGCTAAATTCCAGGAGACCAGCTTTAAATTTAAATAAAAAGTGGTAATGGCTTAGCCTCAGGATAGGTAAACAGATTTGCAATGGAGTTGTAACTGGTAAAAGAATATCAAATAGAACTAGGGGTCTTGGGGACCTTTTGGTCCAGTACTTTTCTGTTGTTACTATATAATTC